ACTTGAACGTGACCCGTGCGCTTGCGGTACGATTTTCAGCGAACACATGCCTACATATTATTCCTCTGAATTCGAACAAGTGGCAACTGCAACTAATTTCACAGTCCTTTCTTCGATATGTGACTTTGAACGATTTCTTCTTCCGGCGTTGCTCATATACAACATCCTCACATACATCGTACGTCGTCCCCAGAAGTCCTTCCAATGAAGATATGAGATTGCAGTAAACCTTACATGTGAACTCCTCTTGAACTTCTCTAAACTTTGAAATGGTGTATACTGACTGAAACTGCTTCTCCATGTCATAAGTTGTTGCACATGGTAACATTTGTGAAAATAATCTACAATCAGCCTGCAACTCTTTCTCAACTTTATTCTGTAGTGCTCATTCATACTGTTCGACGAACTATTTCAAAGATGTCTTAGAATGAACGTATCCGTCAAAAGTTGCATTCATACTTTCACTTCTTTGTGTTGTCGACATCCCTGCGCAAAAAGTGGTTTTCAAATAACAAGGGACCCATCGTCCTCGATTATCATAAAGGCCTGACAACCAAGTATTAACCTGCAATTCATATAACTCAATCATCACTATCCAACCTCCTTCAAATTCTTCAATAGTCTGAAAATCATAAACAAATCTATGAATAGTCGAAAATATCGAACCCTTATCCACGTGGTAGCCAAACTTCTAGGCAACTTCTTCAATATATGCCACAAGCACCATCTGTGATTCGTATTTGGAAATACGATCTGAGTTGCATTCTGCGTCGCCCGATATTAATCAGTTAGGATTCCATGTGGCGCTTGACCATGCATGCACTTAAGCCATTCTGTGAATAGCCACACAAAAGAGTCCGTGTCCTTGTTCGACGTCAAACTACAACCAAGCAGTGTTGATTGTGCGTGATGATTTACGCCAACAAAAGGGGCAAACGGCATGTCATATTTATTGGTGGGGTAGGTGGTATCAAATGTGACAACGTCCCCAAACTCTTTAAACGCTTGCCTAGACCGATTGTCTGCCCAGAATACATTCCTTCGACGCGAATCATCATCTAAATCCATGCTAAAGTAAAAACCCGAACACGTTAACTACATTGAAAAGTAGGATTGTATTGCTGCCGCGTCTCCTACTCCAAGTCGTAATCGCCTAACTTGTTCAATATAGTTTCGACAGTCATTTTCGTTTCAAGTCATATTCTCATAACCACATGCTTCCACCACTGCCAAGTTGTAAGATTTGTGCAACGGAATACCAGCTAGATCATTCACTTCAAGCTTCATCTTCACGTGTGCACTCAGTTCTCGATTCTCCAGGAACCATAAATATTCGAAGATGCAGATATCCTAACTTTACAACCCGTCTGAATTGTAGGTTGCGGCTTGAAGAGCCACTTTTAATAGAACTTATTTTACCTTCTCGACTACATGTCAACGTCAGATATTTTAAAACTCCATCTTCATCCTTCTTTAAAATGCGTTTCCTAACTGGAAAACCTACGATATAGGCATATCTTTTGTAGAAATCCCACATTTCATTCTCATCCTTGAACGTCATTCCAACCTCGGGCACAATACTACAATCTCCTTGTTCAATTACATCTTCCACTTGGTTCATACTGTCTTCCACATTCTCATTGTCTGAGATGACCAAAATGTCGTCATCCATGTCATCCATGATTTATTCAACTACGAAAATTATAAGCACTCGTGTTCAACAATAAATTTACACCACACAAATAATTCATTTCAATGTAGATGCATGGATTTCTTCAAGCATCATTCCTTCTCACGAGCCGAAATTCAATTGCAGAATGAGTCGGGTAAATATATGAATTCCGAAAATTCATTTTCATTTAATGTGAGGAAGCATGGTCACAGGCAAATTTCACTACCCCAATTTGGTGGAAAACATTTTTGAAAATGCATAATTTCAACTATGAATGCATTGAATCTTGGATGATGCATAACCCATATCATATCAATTTTGAAAATTCGAACAATATACTGCATGACAGTGCTCATACTTTCATGGGGCACAAAGATGGACTAAAAGGGAGAAGCTAATGGACCTTCACGTTCAAACGAAGCTCGAGTGAAGCTGAACTGAAATAAAATGGACCTTTACCTAGAATAGAAAGATGGAGAAGCGGTTTGACGAAGCTGGAATACGAGACTAATTGATGGCTATAGTTTACATGAAGATGGAGTTGATGGGCCGGACAAACAAGGCTCGATTGAAGCTAGAATGAAAGACGATTGAAGCTGGAGTTGACAGTGCTCATACCTTCCTGGGTAATGGACTGCCGCTTTCACATTCCTACGAAGCTCCACTAGAATACGGAGACTATGGCAGGTAGTACATTTGGGGACAAATTTACGTCTTTGTTGCGGGCTTCATCTGTTTGAGGGGTTGGAGTGTTGAATTTTGGGGTAAATACATGTGGGTCCTTATTCATTTTTATTTGTTTATTCATTCTTATTTCCCGCGTCACGTGGGAGTTTTCCATCCATTGCCATGTCAGCATTTTCAAAATCCGGTCATCCATTTTGTCAAGGCTTTATGTACAAGTAGCTTTATTATAAAATTAAACATTTTGGGCTAAACTGTTTGAACCTGACGAAAATTGACTAGTTGTGACTTGTCATTGGGTCGTGCCCGATTCTTTTTAAGCTTCAGAAAAAGATTTGTAATGTGTTTGCGTAAATTGACTAAAACATATTTTCACCCATTTCGTGCTATTTATGTAAATTTTAGAATTAAGTAAGCCCGTACCACATAAAGCCTTAATAGATAATAGAGACCCAGTTAAACTCAAATTAACTTGAGGGAAAATTATATAAAACCAGGGGTTTAGTTTGTCATTTTTAAAAGTCAGTTTTTAAGTTTATTTTTGTAAAAATCAGGTAGTATATTAAAACCTAATTCTTAACCTCATTTCTCCCCCAATTCCCGTCGGCTCCCCTTTCCTCTCCTTCCCTCCCCCAAATAAGCAACTTTTTGTAGGCTACAGTCTTCATTGTCCTTACAAACAATAATGTATCTATGATCAATATTCACTGTGTAGACCCATGTAGAAAGAAATTGTAAAGCTACCAAATCCCCAGAGAGAAGGGCCTTCATGGTTTTCATTTCTTCAAGAGTGAATTTTTACATGCGTCTATCAAGCTCAAATTCTTAATATTTCAAATGGATCATAATTTTCATGTTCTTCTACATCTGCGTATTGACTCAATCCGATTCGAGAATTTCAGAAGCTCAGCTTCTCTGTGGCCGAACAAGGGCGTCTCCAAATACCGATTTCATCCAATTATTTGTTAAAGTAATGGAAGCTCTTTCTCAACAAGTCAATTCTCAGAATTGGGGTAGTCATGCACTAAATTCCAACACAGCTTCGATTTATAGTTTAGCCCATTGTTACAGAGATTTATCGCACGATGATTGTCTCCAGTGCTAAGAGGCGGCGATCGAGGGTGTCTGTGACCTAGGAATTGTAACTGTGACTCACTGAAATAGAGTTGCGACAAGTAAAAGTTTTGATTTTTTTTCAATCTGTGACCTGTGTGGGTGTCCGTGACCTAGAAATTGGGACTGTGACTCGCTGAAATAGAGCTGTGACCCGTAAAAGTTTTGAATTTTTTTAATCTGTGACCTATAAAAAATTACCTGTGACCTTAAAATTCTTGATTTGTGACCAACGAAGTTAACTGTGACCTATAAATTTTTTCATCTGTGACCTCGAAATAATTCGAGACCAATTAATTTGATAAGTTGTGACCTGAAATTAATTTTTAACTAATTAATAAGATATACGCTATCAAATTACACAATTAAATATTTAATTAATTAATAAAAAGTAGAAACCTGATTTTTATAATTTTAAAGTTTAGCACCTGATTTTTTCAAATGTCAAACTAAATACCTGAGTCATAAAATTTTCCCTTAACTTGAAGCTCTTTCTAGCCCATAAATCAAGTCAAAACTGTAGTGGGCCAAGCCCGTACCCATGTGAGGCATCCGTAGGCCGTAGCATCTTTGGAAACACTAGTTTCATAGTACTTAATTTTTACTCTGGGGTATCTCGTTGAGATTTTAAAAGTCCTCGATGTTCTCAACTGAAATTTTAATTTATCTAATTAAAATCATTAAAATTTATATGTACTCGAGTGAGTTTGTAGTGAATTTCATTAAAATTCACTAAAATCTAAGTATCCTCGATAACTCGTAGATTTATAAGATTTCATTAATAATTTTAAGTTAATTGGTGTATTTCAAACTTAAAAATATTTTATTATTTTTAATTACTTCATTATGAATGAATTAAGTGAAAATCTTCATAAAATTCATTAAAATTTATAATCTTTCAAAATTCATTAAATTTCAGTTGAACACACTTTATTACAATTTGAACATTCCGTGCACATCACTTAGGCCTGTTTGGATACCACATTTTCCATTAAAAATGTCACATTAGACGAAAACGAACTCTACTTTGATCGTTTGATTGCAACGTGAAAATAGAAACCAAATTCCAAAGTACAACTATTTTAAACTGCATTTTCTTTGTTTTTATGAAAAACAATTCTCCTATAAGTTTTGTGGATTTTTATTTTTCAACTAACATGGAATTGAAATTCCTTTCCACCCTTACCTATTAAATGGACTCCTAGTAAAATTGACTTGCAGTCGAGTAAAGTAGTAAAGAACAGAAGTGACACTGAGCAGTTCAATTTACTAACCATGCAACCTGTCATTAGCATCATTATTTTCATGTAACAAACATCAATGAGTGTACTGGCATTACCATCTACCTCACCTCAAATTGTAGCTTCAACTTTTCGTGCTTACTCGTCTCAAAAAAACAAAAAAAAATTACAACAGAGAATTGGACATTGTTCCCGTGAACAAACAGCCCTCTATACCAGGGATGAGCGCAAAACTTGAAGGGAAAATGAAAATTGGAGATTCTGAAATACGTGAACAATAAATTTCCACCTCAAACAATTGGAAGCTCACCGCAGTCATTTATGACAACCCTCTTTCTAGGACGATCACCTCTGTCAGTCTCTTGCGACTCAATCAGCTTTACAATGTCCATACCCTCCAAAACTTGTCCAAAAACGACGTGTCTCTGATCAAGCCATGGTGTCTGTAATTCATCAAGCATAGATACTCATAAATTTCAAAGCAATTCAATTGCTAGATGTAGGGAGCTATAGCTGATAGGAGATGAGCAATCAAGTCGTATATCACCCAGAATCAGACCCCACGAAACCATCCAAAGCACTATTTGCGTGCTTTGGGCTAACCCCTTGTGCAATAGACCTGAGGGGTGCATACTGGTGCTCCACATCAAAGTTTTTTGAGAAAAGAATCCTATTCACCTTCTAGCTTTAACTTTGATCTAAGCATTTCGATGAGCACTAGCTGCAAATGCATTTTATAGGGTTCTCCCAAAACTAATTATTAAAGGATATGTTTAACCTGTCAAATGAATTCTATATGGAGAAATGTGGCAGAGCGGGGCCACTGCCACATTTATTGGTGATAATTTCCAGGGGTGATAAATAGTATTATTCAGTGTCCATGTAAATATCATTGGTGATAGAATGGTCCTCAAAGCTTATCGAACATGTAGCAGAGAGAGAGAGAGAGAGAGGAAAATCAAAAGAAACAAAAGGTCAAGGACACAAGTCTAAGATAATGTATTATAGAGTTTGATTGTTTCTCAATCTAAAAAATAAACACAGAAAATTCGTTGACATTTGGAAAGATGAAATGTTTATTAACTGCATTCTGTAAAAACTAAAATGCTTATATGCACATCTACATACCTTGACAGTGCAAATGAAAAATTGGCTTCCATTGGTATTGGGGCCCGCATTTGCCATGCTAACAACTCCAGGTCCAGTATGAGTCACTGCACATAGTACAGGATTACTCATTAAATTTTAGTATTAGTAGCAACAAGTTCTTAGTAGTAGTAATAACTAAATGAGGAGGGCAAACTTACGCTTGAAGTTTTCATCTTTGAATGTACGACCATAAATGCTTTTACCTCCAGTTCCCTGCCAAACAGAAATCCCAATAAAAAAACATCAGTTGATATGTATGATGGAACCACATAAATTTCTTCGTAAAAAAAGAAAATATGTATACTATGAATATATTATATTATAGTGAAATATCTTCAAGCATTATTCCAGCCACATGTCATTACAATCAAATTGAAGGAACAAACATCAGTACCATGTGTGTTACAAAGTAGTGTCCTGGTTACATTTTAATGTGGAGCTATTAGAAATGAATTAGAAGTATGCAATATCATGGGTAATGCTGACACCTCTGTAGCACGGACACTTCAATTAGGGTTGCGTGTCCGTGTCCGACACGAGTCGATACCGACACTTTTCGGACACTCTACCGTAACATTTTTCTTTTTATATTAGAAATATTATATATTGTTAATTCAAAATTATTAGCAAGTAACAAATAGGTACTCATGTTCAAAAAATTTCAACAAGAAAAATTAATAACAAGTATAAAACTAAATTTATACTATATAAATGAAGAATTTTTAAGAATTTAATCAACGTGTCAATGACGTGTCGTCTCAGTACTTTTTTTAAAAATCGCGTCGGCGTATCCGACACGTATCGTGCCGGACACACCTGTCCGTATCCGTGCATCATAGGCTGACACCATGGCATACAGCCTTTGTTGGAGCTTAAAATTATGTGGTATCCATACATGCTTCATAAATCTTTCCTCGTAGATTTTGCCATTTAATATTTTGAAACGCCTCAAAATATGATCATTGATCCTCAACCCAGAACCAAATCGGAGAACTTTCTTTACAGATGTTTATTCAAATGTAACAACCAAAAAAAAAGCATAGAATAGAAACGAGAAAGCCAACTAAGAATCCATAAAAACAGTACAGGTAGACACAGACGCGAGCAAATAGACCACATTAATGGTTATAGACTAGAATCAATAATAGGACGGCAGGAATGATGATCGGGCGATCACATTCTAGGTGGTGAGTATATATAACTTTGTAATCTCCCTGGAAAAGGTACCAAAAGCTAAAGTATCATGCTTCAGTTCATAGCATAAAAGGCTTTGCTGGAAAGAGTTGTAGTTTCTCTGGACAAAATAGTAACATCTGTGGCATGTTATGCAGGACAGTAACTACTGGTTGGCAGAAAGTACAATCAGAAACTGAAAGCAATATCCAAATATGAGATTGATGGTCAACCTTAGAAGAAAATTGTGCATCGATCACATCCTTGCTCATATGATTAAGCATTGTTCTAGTGTAATTTTATTCTCCATTATACATTTTAACTTCAGCAACTTATTCACTTCTAGTTGCTAGAAGACTGAAACATCCAACAATTTTTTTTAAGTGTCTTTTTTCTCATAGGAGTCCAGTGGGTACGTTCTTCCTTCTTATGAAAGAGGGAGATCGCACATGAAGACTTCACTATATTAGGATGGAACAAGGAAAAGACACGTGTTTGCTGAGGCTCTAGGACATGTTCGTTTCTCTTGGAACCCCCAATCAAATTGAGACAAGTTTCAAGATTTTCTTAAGAAGTCAATAAAAAGGTGCAAAATCATATACAACAAACATTTTTAATGAGATTTTACACCACCCCGATGCCTACCTTCTCTTTCTTTCCCAATTTCGAGGGTTTGGAGGACAGAAAGGTCTAAAACAACTAAATTTAAAAAAAAAAGATAATCAACCGAAACAGACTAACAGAGTCCATAGAAAAAAAAATCAATTGAAATAGAGTCCATGAAACAAAGACCTACATTTCCTTTGTCAAAGTCTCCTCCTTGAATCATAAAATCCTTTATAACACGATGGAAGCTGGAGCCCTTGTAACCAAAGCCCTTTTCTCCTGTTCAAGAACCACATTTACAGGAAGATACATTCAAAACAGTACTCAACAAAATTACAAGAATAAGATAAATAAACTGCAGAAGAGCCCAAGTGAAATAATATTAAAACCTGTGCACAAAGCACGGAAATTCTCAGCAGTTTGGGGCACGTCGTCACCATACAATCCAATTACAATTCTCCCTACGAGCTTTCCTACAGGATTTCCAATGCCTATATCAAAATAGACTTTACTAGTCACTTTTGATTGCAGTGATGCTTCCTGAGTTGAAATAATCACATCATTAGAAATACAATCAAACTCACGAGTCATGCCATTCAGCATTGACACCTTATGCATAGAGAAATGCGCAATGCAGATTTATTGTTACCAAAACTGGCAAATATCTTCTTAAAATCAATTTCAAATCTTCAAACACCTTCAAAACTGAAATCTCCAAAAGTTGAATCAATTATTTTGTGAAGTCCATGTCTGTATTACTTTAACTATGAGCTTCCTAGTGCAAACATTATCATTAAGAAAAAAATTTAACTATACATTTTTTTTTCTCCTGTAATCAAATTAAATTCCTTTTCAAACAGTAAAAAGAATGAGCAGCTCCTTCATTCCTTGTAATTAGCAAAGACAGCACTTTCCCCTCAAATTGAAAACAAGAAGAAAAGATAATGAAAGTAGATAATTAATAGATTGCCATAATATCCAGAAAACGTTTTCATTTTGACCTTTTGTCCACATTTTCCGCGTTCCACATAGTAAACCACAAATTTATAAATAAGGAAAACTAACAAAAAAAAAAGGTTAAAATACCACCTCAGCCATGGCTCGAACGGGGGAAAACCGACTGCCAGTTGTGCTCTGAACCGGGTAAGAAGAGAGACGTGACGAATCGGCTAAAAAGGTCGAAGATAATGCAGATTTCCGAAGCTTCAAAGATGAAAAAGGGCAAACGTATTTTGTTGTTTTGGCAGAATTGAAGCTTCGTGGAGCTGAAGTTGAGCTAATACTTGGCTGAAAAATTCAAACAAAATACACAATTAATTAACAAAAATCTAAATTCAGTGAAAAATGGAGCGTATGAAACTAAATAGTTAGCATTTGTGATTGAAGAGGACTTACTAGAGCTGCATATGACACCGCCATTGTTGCGAGTTTGTGTGTTTGGGTGGTGGTTTCAGAGTTTTGAGGGTTTTTGTGAGTGGGGGACGGAGATGACAAGATTGAATGACCGGAACAGGGTTGGATTTTTTTATAATGACAAGTGAGTCCTCTTAAGATATCCTTTTGGTTTTGGGTGGCGTATATGACTACATCATTTTTATATTATTGTTTACATTATTTTACGTAACAACATATTATTAAAAATTGAAAAACAAAAGCATTTTCTCACAATTTTTTGAAAACATGAGTAATGTCAAACGAAGTGTACATCAAATAATGTATATTTTGATTGCATTTATTTTCCATAAAACATGTTCATTTTTCACCCAAATTTCTACTTTAAAATATTTGATTACTATTTTTTTTCTACTAAAAATATTTTCCAACTTTTGAAAATATACATAATTTTCTTTATTTTTAAGGAAAATATTTTTTTTGGGGGAGTAGGTTTTTGTTTTTCTTAAAACAAGAAACACTTCTTTTCAATAATATATTTTTCATTTCAATCAAACACACTTTTAGCATTGTTGAAAATGTGAATAATCTGGAGAAAGGAGTATTGACATGGAGGAACAATTAGCATCAATTACTTATCATTTTTAATTTTAACAAAATTAATTTTTTGTAAACACATTGAGGCCTTGTATGGGAGGGATTAAAATCGGATAAAATTTGAAAATATAGCCGTTATTGTTGACTTTTATTAGACGAATGGGACCCAATAACGGTTATATTTTCAATTTTAATTGACTTTTAATCCCTCCCAAACGAGGCCTGAATATATCAATTGAATTGATTCAAAAAATATAAATTAAATTCAAGATTATAACAATGTTTGAATTCGTATATTTAAATTCTTAAAAGCACGCACAAATGTATCTAGTTAATTGCTTCAATGAGATACTTTAATTTTTTCAAAGAAAAGCGACAATGTCCTTTTTAAGTAGAAAATTGAAAATGTCACTATTTCACTTTCTCATTTTCGAAAAAACCTTGGATGCATCAATTGAATTGATTCAAATAAATATGAATTGAATGCAAGATTAAAATATGTTTTGAATTCATATATTTGAATTTTCAAAAATACACACATATGCATCTAATTAATTACTTCAATGAGATAATTCGACTTTTTCGAATGTCACCTTTTCACATTCTAATTTTTGCGAATATACTAGATGCATCAATTAAATTGATTTAGAAAATTATAAATTGAATGCAAGATTAAAACAATGTTAGAATTCGTATATTTAAATTTCTAAAAATACACACGTATGCATCTAGTTAATTACTCAAATGAGATAATACGATTTTTTCAGATAAAAAAGTTTTCATATTCTCATTTTTTCAAACACCTTCTTTGTACAATTGAATTGATTTGAAGAAAAATGAATTGAATGCAAGATTAGAAAAATGTTTAAATTCATATATTTAAATTTCCAAAAACACACACATATGCATCTAATTAATTACTTCAATGAGATATTTCGACTTTTTCGAAGAAAAGTGATGTAATGTCACTTCTTCATAGAATGTCATATTTTCACATTCTTATTTTTGTGCACACACTGGATGCATCAATTGAATTGAAAAATATGAATTAAATACAAGATTAAAACAATGTTAGAATTTTGTATATTTAAATTTCCAAAAGCACGCATGTTTGTATTTAGTTAATTGCTCAAATGAGATAATGCGACTTTTTCAGAGAATGTCACTTTTTTCATATTTTCATTTTCGCAAACACCTTGAATGTATCAATTGAATTGATTTGAAGAAAAATGAATTGAATGCAAGATTAAAAAAATGTTTGAATTCGTATATTTAAATTTCCGAACACACACACTAATGCATTTAGTTAATTGCTTTAATGAGATGCTACGACTTTTTTCATATTACATTCTCATTTTTGCAAACACATTTGATACATCAATTGAACTTATTCAAACACATTTGGAAGATCGAGGCTTCACACGAATGTCAGTTTGTCCGCTAAAATGAAGATAATAGTTGTATGTAACCTTAACCCGAAGATAATGTCATTATTTCAAATTGTTCAGAAATTACATTATTAACTAAAATAACGACTAAAAGTGAGAAATATGAAATCTCACATTTTATGATTTTCTTCAGACTATTTTTTTGTAAGTATGATACACTGGGGAGCAGAGGAACTACGCCTAAAACTGTTGTACATTCCGAACACGATCTGATAGCCCACGTGAAGTCGAAGGTGGCCGATAGGTGTTTAAATCTTGCTTTCGTTTCTGGAAAATGAGCGCAAAAAATATTTTCCGTTTTAACCATTTGTCATTTAATCCAAGTTTATCACTTTTTTTTTTCAAAATGACCCTAAAATATAGGGTATTTGTGTAAATACCCTTTAGAATTTATGTATAAAGAAATATTAGGCTTTTTTATCTGCAGGCCCATTACTATTTGATTTTCTTAGGTAGGGAGAAGTGCAGAAAAACAACACGGAAACTGCCCTTATATTTTTTGCCCATGTTTGTCTCCCTTTAAAATTCAGTGGAAATTACATTAGACTAGGTTTTTCAAGATCATGGTTCAAAAATTTGATAATAAATTTATTTAATCATAAATCAGGTATTAATTTAACTATTAATAACAATGATATAAAATATATCCAACCATATCCCATCACATCCAAATCCAATTTAATGCTAAACCTTAAAATTCATTTCTCTCCATCTTGTCTCTCTCTACCGAACTCATACCTCCGACGTTGTTGTACCCACTGTTGGAGACCATTGTTGAACTCACAACAGTGGTTGCTCACCATGGAGTTGTGACTACCGACGACTTGCTTAGGCTGAAGCCGCTATCAAATGCCAGATTGGTGGAGATCTGATTTAAGTGCCGCTGTCACTGGATATTGCACCACTGCCCGCTGGAGAAGATTTGCACCGTCGTCTCACTAAAAGTAGGGAAGCTGTAACTTGCATCTGAGATCAATAATGCTGCTGCATGACTACGGCTTCTCTCTAATCTGTATTATCGATGTAGAGATTGCAATGTCGCCGATGGAAAGTTTTGAGTGATGCTGCTGAAGAATGATGATGGTGGTAGTTTGCTGCATTTGGTGGTGCTTTTGGTTGGTTTTTGGAGTGGTAGTTGTTTTCACGTTTTTGTGTAGGGATGATTTTTGTTGGCAGTGGATTTGACGGTGGCTGTTTTGTTGGTGATGGTTTTATGGTGTTGGTGTTATTGTGTGGTGGTGGCAGCGGTTGTGTGGCGGGGTAGGGGTGGTCACAATTGACTATGATGGTGGTGGCGGCGGCAAGAATGTTAGTGGTGGTGGTATGTGACCAACTATTTGGTTATTTATGACCTAAAAATTCGATAATTTGTAACTGAAAAATAATTTATAACCAATTAATTTGAAAATTTGTGACTGACAAATAAATCATAACATATCAAAAAATTTTATTGTGACCATAAAATAATCTATGATCAACTAATTTAATAATGTGACGTTGTAACATATAAGTATGCTCACGTGACCATTAATAGTATAATTATGACCTTAATTTATTTAATTAATAAAATAATTAAATTAATTACTTAATTTAGTTAATTTAATTAATTAATACCTGAATTTTGAATTTTAAAACTTAAAACCTGAAAATTGAATTGCTCCATACTTAATGCCTGACTCGTGAAAGAAAGATTGGGCTTTTTATCGCAGGCCCATTACTATTTGTATTATCTTGGGCCATGGAGAAGTATAGAACAACACGAAAATTGCCCTTGCATTTTTAGTTCCTATTTGTCACCCTTAAAAATAAAATTCTTTAATTTTCATACTCGTTTTTAACAATACATTCACACAATAAAATATTTTGCACGCAAACCTAACATTTTTCCTATTTTTTAACAGTAAAATCTTGAAAAAAAAAATTACTATTCAAAACATCATTTTTTTTCAATAATAACTATCAGACGAGCATAACGTCAGAAGAATTTATCCTTCCCAACATTTTTAATAGAAAATAAATTTGTCATTTTAGTTAAAAAAGAACACAATTACACGGCCTCATAACATATTACATATTATAACATGAGATGAGGTCCCATGGTGACACAATATTGTACTAATGAACTTTGGGTTGATGAGCATACTTTGACAATTTCATGGTGAAGTACTCTCTACTCTACGAAAGATTGGCTCTATTATTACGCCCTATTTTCGCGAAAAAGTTATCAAAATTAAGACATGTGACGAACATCCCCAACAATATGTAACCAGAGTTTGTATCGATGCAACATGAATTGTGATTCCATTGACGAATGTATATTGTACATAAACTAAATTAATTAGATCAAATAGCAAGCTTATAAAAATTAAAATTCATTTATTTACCAAATAACAACCAACAAAAACATATGATTTACATAAAAACAGAGTCAGTTTGAATCAAAGCAACTCTTGTTTCCAGCAGAATGTTCACTCTTCTTCTTCTTCTTCCTTGTTATCATATCACACACAAATGCCTTCTCCAGCAGTTCTACTCTCCGCGTTAGAGCATTCAACATCTGTGTCTGCTTCTCGTTCTTCTCAGTTAACTGTGTCATCATCTTCATCATTTTCTCATTCTCCTCCATCATCTTCTCCAGCAATTCTCGATCCCGCTTTCCATTCCCTTTCGCCTCGGCTTCATCGTCATTACCATTTTCTTCATCCACCTTCACCTCATCATCCACTCCAACCTCCATTGCCCCGCAGTTTTCCTCATATTCAATAGTCTTGTCTTCTGTTTCAACACTCTGTTCAAACATACACTCGGGAATCTGATCTTCAGAATTTACATCCTCCAATTTATCCGAATGATCTGTGGGGATATTTAAATTATCTGAATTTTCGGCTGAATTCCCCAAACCTTCTGAATTTTCAGCACAATCATACGATTTGGGTGAATTCTCTGTGGGGACGTCAAAATTATCAGAATTCCCATTCCCCAATTTCTCTGAATCAATTTCTATTGCTTGATCAGTTGCCTCCGATAGCTCATCAATTTCACTAGCACTTTCCGAATTAACGGAAGCAACAGCATCAATTTTCTCCTGCAACGCAATAGCTTTTCGAATCACTGCCTTCCTCAAATCCCTAACACCCAAATCTATACCTCTAACAGAATCCAGCTTAAAAAGCAGAGCCATCAATCTCTCATTCATCTTCAACCTCTCCTTTTCATCTCTCTTAACCAAATCCACAACTTCACTCTTCAAAAGCTTCTCTTCAATTTCATCAACCTGGATTTTGACATCCTTGATCTTCTTCACGCTTTTTCTGACCAAAAATCCCCTGAAAATCTTCTGGATCTTCAAAGCAGAAGCCGAGCGGGTCGACTCCGATCCGACAAAGTGTACGGGGATTTGAACCACCTTTTGAGAGGAAGTTTTAACCGGCAGGCGTTGAATCGGATGAGCAGGCCTCGGCGGCTCCTCCGCCGTATGAACAGGAATGCCGCGGACAGAAGGCGAACTAGTATTTTGACGGCGTAATGGTTGCTGTTGAGACCAGTGATTCGTGAAGAATGGGCTATAATCCATTGGCAATACGATCGATTAGTAGAATTTACTTAAAGATTCAAATGTTTTTGAAGATTCGATTGTGAGGAAGAACATAAAATTGAGGTGGTATATATTGACGGGGAGGGGACGATGGAAGAAAGAATATGAAACTTCCAGAAGTTTCGGCAAAGAGATTTTTCCGGGGAAAGTTGTGGTCTTCTGGATATTCCTAGATAATTGTGGTGTCTTCCACATTCCAAAGTTTTCTTTTGCTTTTAAAATGAATAACGATATTTATCAAAAAATCAAAATAATTATTGATTTAGAGCTTGTTTGTAACACTAAAAATTCAATTAAAATTGAAAATATAATAGTTATTGGGTCCCATCCATCTAATAAAAGTCAACAATAACGACTAGTTTTTTTAATTTTAATTCGATTTTAATATCTACCAAACACACTCTTATGTGATATTGGAGTCATCGTTAGATTATCTAACTGACTTTGCATATATTTTTAGAATTATGATCCTTGTACACTCCTTCTGTACATGGAGTTTGACACTGCTTTACAAATTCAAAAATGGAGTGACGAAAAGGTGTGTTGTATTTTCAAATTGGTCAATCGTGCTATAACTTGTTGTCAAAAATAATATACTTTTAGAATGATTGATATTTTAAAAGCATATTTAATGAGATTTTGGATTGTATCAAAAAGAGCTTCCAAATACCCCCGCTTCAACTTGCTCCTTGGTGGGGGGCGAACCACAAGTATTTATTTATTTTGTGAAAAATTGAAATTGACATTTTCACACCCCGAAATATAATAAAAAAGTAATTTTTTAAGGAAATTATTATTTTGTCAAAAGAATTATAAAGCTGTAAAAATATTCCTCATTTATCGAACTTATGACCAACTACATACGTAAGTTGAGTTAAAATTCTACGCAAGTTATTATTTCGTGATGTATCTTGATCTAATATACGATTTTTCGTAATAAATCATACGTCTGTAAGTGATGATAAACTTGAAAAAGTTGTGAACAAGTCTCAACCTATATTAGAAGACATTGAGCATTGATATTTCTTTGCATTCCAGTATCGAAGTAAATTGCAGAAGTCGGCCCCTTAATAATGTCTCATCCTATGTATGTGCTCGCATATGAGTTTCATATATTTTGAAGTCAGAAAAAATTAAATCTAGCCCCAGTTTGAGTCACATTAAAATTTTCATTTTCATTCTTCTATTCATTTTTAACTACACGTTCTTTAATAAAATAATATTTTTCATCACATCAATTACTTTTCCTTCTTTTTCAACCACACATCATCCATCAATTTACTATTCCAAAATATATTTTTTTCAAAATAATGTGGCTCAAACACACTGCTATATAGTTTGTGCTAGAGTACAAATTACACAATTCTATAATTCTTTACTTGTACCGATGATATATTTGTTTCAAATATAAAAATTATATTATTTTAAATTAATTGAAAGAAAATGTTCGACCCACGCAATTGGGAAGGAGATCGAAACTACAATAGGAAAAAAATAATTCGTACATGTCAAAAATTATTATTGAAAATATTCTCCATTATGATACAAACTTTTGATAACAAAAATCTTCACCCCTGCATTGCAAGAGTGCTAAAGAAATATTTAGTAATGATTGTATGACAAAATTAAATTAGAAAAAACGTGATTCACAAAGCATAAAAAATGAAAATATGTGGTTATAAAAATAAATTGCATATATTACCCTCTACAAGTCAAAATAACTTTATTTTGAAATTGATGACAAAAAGTAATTATCTCATTTATATAACGAATCAAAGTCTGAATACTATTATGCCTTCGTTTGATCTACATTATTATCTTATTAAAAAGAAAAATATGACCGTTATCGATCACAACAACATTTCAATTCAAATTTTCTATCTCTTATGTGGGCTTCAAAAACGGCTATATTTTTTATTCTTATTCTACAATAATTTGGCTCAAACAATTCTAATTAAAAGTTTATGTAGAAAAAATAAAATTGAATTCAATTAACACTATTTTGAGAAATATAAGAAAAATTACAGTGAAAGCACTAGCACATTCATATTCTCGATTTTGCAATCCTTGATAATCAAACGTCCTTCCAATATACGAGCATCAGATTACGACATTGATTTAAAGACTTAACATAACAGACATATTCAAACACTCTACCAGAATAAAAAAGAAAAAATCAAATATAAAAGTAGAGATTAGATAGTGAAAAGTTTTTTTCGAAGTGGTATAAAAGCAAACAAATTATGAAAATCAGGAAAAAAATTCGATCCAACACTTAAAAAAAAGAGTGATAAGAGTGCATGTTAATTGAAACCGAAAGATTTTGATAATGAGTGCAGAAGTTATGCGAAAATCGAGTGCAATGACACTTCCATCATATAGACAAAAGAATGCATTATAAGGAAAAAAAAAAGTTTAAACTTCAAATTTTAATTTAATTTTCATATAGTTATTGAACAACTACCTCAAACATTACAGTTGTTGAATGATGTAAAAATACAGCAAATTGCAAGGGCGACAAGCTTATTGCCTTGCAAGTCAACGGGTGGCTCACACAATATTTTTACTGTGAGCTACATGTTCGAGTCGAGCTGATAAGCGGCTTGCTTCACTTGACACACTCAATTACATCACTACAAAATACTTACATGGTAAGGAAAAATATTGAGGATTTCTAGTACATCATCCACCAGTAGAAGGATGTAACCTATAAATTTTTTAATTTGTGAGCGATTAAATAAATTTAACCTATCAAGATTTTTTATCGTGACCATAAATAATCTGTGATCAATTAATTTGATAATATCTGGCGTTATGACATAAGTACGTACATGTGACCATTAATTGTATAATTGTGACATTAATATATTAAATTAGAAAATAAATTTGTCATTTTAGTTAAAAAAAAATAAAAATACCATTACACAACGTTGAAACATATATGTCCTATTCCAGGAGAAGTGATCAAAATTAAGACGCGACGATCATCCCCCCAACTCTCCCCAACAATATGTGACGAGTTCGTATCAATGCAACATGAATTGTGATTCCATTGACCAACGTATAAAAGTACATTTCATTGGATTTAAACTAAATTAATTAGATCAAATAGCAAGCTTATAAAAATTATTATTCATTTATTTACCATCAACAAGCAACAAAAACAGACCATTTACATAAAATCACAGTCAGTTTGAATCAAAATCAAAGCAACTCTTGTTTCCCGCAGAATGCTCACTCTTCTTCGTCGTCGTCTTCTTCTTCTTCCTTGTTATCACATCACATACAAATGCCTTCTCCAGCAGTTCTACTCTCCGCGTTAGAGCATTCAACATCTGTGTCTGCTTCTCGTTCTTCTCAGTTAACTGTGTCATCATCTTCATCATTTTCGCATTCTCCTCCATCATCTTCTCCAGAAAAAATATGACCGTTATTCATCACAACAACATTTCAGTTCAAATTTTCTATTTCTTATGTGTGCTTCAATAACGGCTATATTTTTCATTCTTATTCTACAATAATTTGGCTCAAACAATTCTGTTTAAAAGTTTGTGTAGAAAAAATAAAATTGGATTCAATTAACACTATTTTGAGAAATATAAGAAAAATTACAGTGAAAGCACTTGCACATTCATATTCTCGATTTTGCAATCCTTGATAATCAAATGTCCTTCCAATATACGAGCATCAGATTACGACACTGATTTAAAGACTTAACATAACAGACATATTCAAACACTCTACCAGAATAAAAAAGAAAAAAATCAATTGTTACCGATTTCGTAAATATACCATTGCTTACCATATAGAGTACAAGATACACTAAACATTTTATTAATCAAATTAAAATCATGTAAAGAATGTGCAATAATATGTGCAACGAGGCTATTAAGTTCATCTGACACAATGTGTTAAATAACGAATAGTGAAAGTAGAGATTAGATAGTGAAAAGTTTGTTTCGAAGTGGTATAAAAGCAAACAAATTATGAAAATCAGGAAAAAACTCGATCCAACACTTAAAAAAAAGAGTGATAAGAGTGCATGTTAATTGAAACCGAAAGATTTTGATAATGAGTGCAGAAGTTATGCAAAAATCGAGTGCAATGACACTTCCATCATATAGACAAAAGAATGCATTATAAGGAAAAAAGTTTAAACTTCAAAATTTAATTTAATTGTCATATAGTTATTGAACAACTATCTGAAACATTACAGTTGTTGAATGATGTAAAAATACAGCAAATTGCAAGGGCGACAAGCTTATTGCCTTGCAAGTCAACGGGTGGCTCACACAATATTTTTACTGTGAGCTACATGTTTGAGTCGAGCTGATAAGCGGCTTGCTTCACTTGACACACCCAATTACATCACTACAAAATACTTACATGGTAAGGAAAAATATTGAGGATGTGTAGTACATCATCCACCAGTGGAAGGATGTAACCTATAAATTTTTTAATTTGTGAGCGATAAAATAAATTTAACCTATCAAGATTTTTTATCGTGACCATAAATAATCCGTGATCAATTAATTTGATAATATATAACGTTATGACATATAAGTACGTATATGTGACCATTAATTGTATAATTGTGATATTAATACATTTAATTAATAAATTTGTTTTTAATTAATTAACTAATATTTGAATTTTGAATTTTAAAACTTAAAACCTGAAAATTGAATTGTCACGTACTTAATGAACGTCTTTTGAAAGAAAGATTGGGCTTTTTATCGCCGGCCCATTACTATTTGTATTTTCTTGGGTAATGGAGAAGTGTAGAACAACACAAAAACTGCCCTTGCATTTTTAACCCCTATTTGCCTCCCTTTAAAATAAAATTTTTAATTCTCATACTCATTTTTAACTATACATTCACACAATAAAATATTTTACACGCAAACCTAAAATTTTTCATACTTTTTAACCACATATTTTTCAAAAAATTATTATTCGAAACATCATTTCTTTTTTCA